TAGATTTGACTATGGGGAGACTGGCCTCATATCTTCCATCCAACATGAAAACCTCTGTCATCTATTGCAACAGGTCCCATTTATTCATCACACCTAGACTTATTAGAATAACCAACCTATCCATTAGGATAATGAAAGCTGTGGCCACGGAAGCAGCATTCACATCAAAGCCCGTTATCAGACGGTTAGTTAGCCTATAAATCCTTCCACTACTTCACTCTATTCTCCAAAGAAAAAAGGTTGTTTTGTGTATGCATAATCGGTTCTTTGACATTAGGGATAAGCTCCATGGCTGTCCTTCAGGGACTGAATGTTTCCTTTGTTCCTCAAATAGCCAGAAATGAACAGTACTCATCATACAGTCCGATGAAAATACTGCACAGTGTCAGCATAATTTGAACAAATAGTTTGATTTGTATGTTCTTCTCTATAGAGTTCAACATTTTAGTTAATAACTACTGCTCCATTTTTTCTCAGCATGTATAACAGTGCATAAGTACTAATCTTCTAGATCTCCAGCAATTATTTCAGACTCATTTTACAGTGTTGTTTTCTGTCAATTTTTTAATCTGCATTGATATTTTAAGTAAGGAAATAGTGCATCAGCAGGTGACAGCATTCATAATTGTCTGGACTTGTGAAGGAAACACTTGCACTCGTAAAGCACCATTCACAACCTTTGGCTATAAAGTGCTTTGGCACATCATACAAAGTACTTTTAACTCTAGTTACTGTTGCAACATAGGAAACACAGCGATCAACTGCTGGACAAGGTTCCAGAAGCAGCAATGTGAGAATCTATTTTTGAGATGTTGATTGAGGGATAAACATTGCCTAGGATTTCAGAAAACTTCACTGATCTTGAAAATATTGCTTTGGGGTCTTTTACTCAGCACAGTATTCACATATTCCATTGCAGTCCAAAGGGAAGTCTCAGAGTGCAACTTGAGTCCACAACTTTCTGACTCAAAGGCAAGGTGTGCTACCTACTGAGGCATAGCTCATACTACAAACTTTTGTATGAAATCCCATGCCCATCTGGTGTGGCACAAAATGCATTATAAATGATGTGGAACAAAGTACTTTTTAATAAAGCATTTCTTAAACATAAGCATCACAACGACAGTATCATTGTTTGTTAATAAACTGAAACAAACAAAGAATTATCAGCCTTAGCAAATGCATACAGTGACAGCCCTAACTATATGCCTTCCTACTCTAATCCTCAAAAGAACCAGAGTCTCTCGACCCAGATCAAGTACCACAATGATCCAGATCTTCCTGCAGATTTAGAATTATTATCTAGTTTCACTGTATTCTTACAAAGTTGATAAGGTTCAATCCAGTTTGAAATTGCCAGCATTACCACCATTGGGTCTTCATTACAAGGCTAGGTATCTTAAAAGTCTTAAATTATCTTCCAGTATTTCGCTAGCAAGAATGGAGAACACACACACTTGTTTCCAGATTGCAAGGTTTATCGTGTTTACTGCTTCATGACATAATAACATAAATCAACACTAAACACTATTCAAATCCAAACACTGATTATGGATCAATGAAACCCCACAAATAATTCAACAAGTCTGTCCAGTTTTATGCAGTCATGCTTCTTCGTATGTTTATACTCATTTTTAAATCCTATGGCTCTTCAAAGCATTATCTTGTGTCCACGTGCTCAAGATTGTCAAGGAACTAAAGCACAATCTGTTACTGCCCACTATTACCTCTAAGGAAAAAAAAATCACTTTGTGTCTTCACCATTTTAAATCACCAACCAGCTTGTTTTTAATCCTTACCTAATAATTACCTATCATCTAAACATGTGCATTCACACTTATGGAGATAACCCATTAATTGCTGTGAACAACTGAAGTAACATGTTGTTTGATGAGATCCACTAGTCATTGGGATGTATGCCTGCATAACTGACATTACACAAGCAAAGAAATTTAGAAAAGACATCACTTGTGTTGTAGGTAAACCACCTTTCTAGCTTGATAGGAGCATTCTGTTAGCAGAAAATTCTACTATTCTGTAGCAACACAAATGGCAGAGTAAAACAGCTAATTTCACCCATTGCATAAATTTAAAGGGATGTACACCATTGCATATCCCTGTATTGTTCACACTCTGCCCTCTGCAAACTAAAGTAACATGCCCAGGAAATGCACCTCTTTCAATTAAATAAAAGCTTGGAGAAAAGTTGGTGCATTCTCCAGTTCATTTCCTTGACCAATCAGCATTCTTTTTCCCACACAGTATAAATTTTTGCTCCCTTTGAAATTTGGTATTTCTGTATCAGTCCTGATGAGTGCAAGATGAAGAGCTTCGTCAACATGTCCTTTCTTTTTCCCTCACCAATACTAAAGTTTTGTACTAACACGTGACCAAAATATTGTATATTCACATCATTAGGACAGAAAGTAGACAAACTTTGGGAAAAAAAAGACTGACAGAAAACATAAGAGAGGGACCTAGAGGAGAAAACGGATGACAGATACATGGGACTGGACGCAGTTGATGTATGAGGAATGTGCACCCATTGCCATGGGTGTCTAATCTACTGGGAATATGATGTTAACAAACAAAAAGAAAAATGAATAAATTGACAAAAGTTTCTAGGTTAGAGAAACAGATCTTCTCCTTACTGTTACAGAAGAGCTGAACAAAAAAAAAACACATTTGGATTTAGAAATCATTGCGGAAAGACAAGTAGTGCTAAAGCAGTGCTATAACAACCTTCAAAACCTTGTTACTTGTAATGTCTCACTCAGAGATAATAAGAACTGCCGATGCTGGAGTCAGAGATAACACAGTGTGGAGCTGGATGAACACAGCAGGCCAGGCAGCATCAGAGGAGCAGGAAAGCTGACGTTTTGGGTCCATTTCTGAAGAAGGGTCCCGGCCTGAAAAGTCAGCTTTCCTGCTCCTCTGATGCTGCCTGGCCTGCTGTGTTCCTCCAGCTCCACGCTGTGTTATTTGTAATGTCTCTCTTCTTTGTCTTTTAATGTGACATTTTAATTAAAATCTAGTATCTAAAATCTATTAAGAACCTAATGATTAAGCAGCACCATTTCTTGGCAATACATTTTATAGAAACAAGGAGCATATACAAGGACGTGCATCCTAATCATAACCAAAGGCTACTGTTGTTGCAAAACTGATTCACAAATTGAACACATTGCAAACTACTGTTAGAAGCATTTTTTAAAATCAGACAACAAGTTTTAAAGGCTGTCCAAAAAACTGTTTTATAAAGCTATTAGCTCATTAGCTTGCATCCACTAGCTTAAAATTGGACAGTAGTCATATCAACAAGTGACTAAATGTAAATTATTTTTATTTCCAAAGTGAAGTTACACTTTGCTGACCCAACATTTCAATCACCGCCAACCAGATCACTGTTAAGAGGTTGTTTACAGATATACAGTATTTAATCGATTTTTCTTAAATCAGATTTCTTCTGTCCATTTGTCTTGTAGAATTAAAATCAAACACAAGTAGCAGCAATGAATGGATCAGTCAACGAGCAAGCCGTTTGGGGCAACTGATAGCAAGGAAACTAACTCAGAACAATAACGTTGGCAAAAGCGGTACCACAAAACTGGGCACCTTGCTGGGCTTTTATCAACCCTTTGCATTGATATTATTGGAAGCTGCTGCTATTACTATTGGCAAAATACTCTAAAATTCCGCCGTACCAACACAAATCGGTTTGCAGCGAGAGGGTTTGAAGAAGTTTTGATTATTGTTCTGACATGGTCCCGCAAACAAGGTAAAAGCACGGAGGATGGGAGTCAGACAAAAGGCTCTCGAGTGCTCGGTCACTCAGTGAAAACAACACCCTGCAAACACTCACCCAAAACACGATGTTGAAGCCGAACAGAACGTATTTAACACAGCAACTAACTTCGGGTCCTTTGAAATGTTTCCCGGACATGGTGATCTGGAAAAACTCAGGAGGGAGGAAGGGTTTTCTTTTTAGGATAAAACAAACGTTAAAAAAAAAACACCCCGAGAGGCGGACAGCCGCCTTCAGTGAAGCTCAGCAGCGAACGGGAGAAGCCAGTGTCCGAGGCCCGGCCACCGCATCAGGAGAGAGTGCGCCTGCACCGACATTGGCCTTCAGTCCGGGCAGAGAGGCGACCCCGCGCCGATCCCGCTCACAACTCCATGCGGTTAGTCCCCGGTCACCGACACAGCGGCCTCCCCCGGTACCGCCGCCGCCGCCGCCATCAACCAGCTCATCAGGGCGCATGCGCATTCAGCCCCGTGCGCGTGCCCCTCTCCGCCTGAGCGCGCGATGGAGGCGGAGGACGCGCGCGCAGTCTGCTCCTGGGAGCTGCAGGAGGCAGAGTGTTACCCTCTGTCGGTCTGACTGAAGTAGGCAAGAGCAGCAGGCAGGCAGCCAGCCAGCCAGCACCCTCCTCCTCCCCCCCAAATCACACACAGGGGGCAGAAATGGATTTTTAAAAACCTCAGGAGATCGAACTGATGCGTTATATGCAACTTCGCAACATTTCGTCTGTTTTTCTTTCTCTCTTCCCCCTTGTTTTTTTTTAAATTTCAGATTTGCAGCAGCCGATTTTTCCCCTTTTCTAAAATAAAGCTCAAGGTCCGGTTAACCCATAACAGAACAGGGCGCCGGATGATACGCTAGTGTAAGGGAATTGGCACACGAATGTAATAAGTGACATTGAAAGAGTTAAAGCGATTACTTCGGTTGTTGAGTGATGTGTACAATGAAACAAAAGGGGTTTACACACTAGCTACCATGGAATGTTACTGCAATATAGCAACTGGAACAGGGTGCTGCGTTCTTGAAGACTAACGAGTTTTCTCATCAAAAGACTCCTGCCGTATAGAATGTCACTGACTAGAAGTTAGAGTAACACTTCCCATAAAAATCTTTAGTCTCCCAACTACTTCTAAATACTTGCTTTCAATTTCGTTGTCTCAAGGTAAGCGTTAAAAAAAAACGGCAAATTCCACAAAAATTAACTATCCTATTCGTAAAAAGGTCTTTAATTCATTCTCAAAACTTGACAGTTTGCCTTATACGTTTCAAATGCACAGATAGAGAAGTGTACTTGATTCAGAGTATGAGTTTCTTTGCACAAGTCAAAACCCATTGAAATCAGTGTAGCAGGCAATGAAATCTGTTCCTGAGTAACTAACTACAGGCTAAGTTTGTGTGCAGAGCTATGGCATTATCTTCCAAATTCAGACAGGTACCCTATCCGAGCTTGCTGCTGGTATACAGATTAGGTAGGTGTAGTTTCCAGTGTTCAGTTGTTTCGAAGCTTCAACTTCCCCCCCACCCCACCATCTTTAATGTAATTATGAACTAGTATCCACAAGCCAGTTATTGTTTTGGAAGACAACAGCTATAATTATCTATTGTCCTTTCCCTGCCACAAATCTTCAATTTTCTTAAAAACATCCCTATCTGAATCCAGGACCTGGTCTCAACTGCCACAAAAAAATGATTACCCAGTACCAAAGTTGAAGGGTAAAGGGAAAGAAATTTTTTTCCCTACTAGCTGGGATTTCTAAGACAAAAGGGGACAACAATCAGCTGTTCTATTCAATGGGTAGCAGTATGGAAGGTTGCTGACTTGGCCATTGTAGAACTGGTCAAAGTCTAACAACAGGACACTTGTTCCCACTGTATATCTGGTTTAATTACTCATTTCTTGCCTGAATAAACAGCATTGCTTCACTTCAAAGTCAGCATGTGCCATCAGAACACTACCTTCAACCTGCATATTGTGACATAGCTACAACTAAAAAACCCTTTATAGTATTAACTAAAATGGTTCTCTAGTTACAGTCTGTGGGAAAACAGTCTAAGTAGTCAAGTCACGCAATTAAATTTGTCCTTCCATCTAAGGCAGTTGTGTTTTACTGGAGGATGAAATTTAACCCCCCCCAAATTTAGTCTAAAACCAAAAAAAAAAGTAAATGCTTTGATTGAAGACATGAGAAATATACTTAGTTTACAATAATTAGTGACAATTGAAATCTCAATTTAAATACCTTGCACAAATATATTTATAATTTTTTCCCCAAAAATCATTGCAACAGGTAAGTTTGGAAAAAGCCATATAGTCTCCCAAAATCAACTGCACAAATTGACATTACTGAGTTAAGTGCTACAAAGTTCATTTACACAGCTTTAAAGCTTGGCAGAAAAAACTTCAGACAACAAATTTGTTTTTAACTCCCAATCCACTCTTTGTTGCCGTGTCTGCATGTGCTTGATAACCGATCACAACCTTCCTGGGAAGACCAAGCCTTTCCTTGTAGGTTTTTCTAAAAAGGAGAGAGAGAAAAAAATTCTTGAATGCATTTTATGTTCTAAATTGCACCTGTATCATGTGGAATTGCATGCTCATTAAACATTTTTAATTAAGCCAAAAAGGCCCAACTACTCAGTAAATAACACCCTTACCTCCAAGTCAGAAATTCTGGAGTTCAATCAAAATTTGTTGACAATGTTATGACTGCTTCTTCCATGGTCAAACAGATTGATAACTAACCTGCCAATCAGCCATAGCTTGAATGGCATAGTTCCACATTAACTATGAAGTGTTGAAATGCCTGCAGTCCCTCCTGGACTTTGGCTAAAAAGGATATGGAACATGTCTTACTGATTAATTAAGCATTGTTAGAAAATGTGCAGATATTCTCAATGGGCAATTCAAAATTAGTCACTTGGCATTGACCATAAGATGAGCAGAATCAGGCCATTCTATCATGGCTGATATGTTTTTCAAACCCATTCTCCTGCCTTCTCCCTGTAAATAACCTTTGATCCTCTTAACCAAGAACCCCTCTCAAATACACTCAATGACTTGACCTCCACAGCCTCTGGCACTGCATTTCACAATTCACCATTTGGCGGAAGAAATTTCCCTTCATTTCAGTTCTTAAGGGTCAGTCATTTACTGAATTTGTGCGCTTGGGTCCCAGTCTCTCCTACTAGTGGAAAGATCATCTGTGTCCACTCTATCCAGTCCTCAGTATTCTGCAAGTTTCAATGAGATCCCCCATCATCCTTCCAAACACCACTGTGTACAGGCCCAAGAGTCCTCAAAATGCCCCTTGTGACAAGCTCTTCATCTCCAGGGATCATTCTTGTAAGCCTCTTCTGGATCCCCTCCAAAGTCAGTATGTCCTTCCTTGGATATGGAGCTCAAAACTGCACACTATATTCTAAATGCAGTCTGACCAAAGTCTTGTACAGCTTCAGCTCGTGTTCTCTAGCCCTCTTGAAATGAATGCTAACATGGCAGTTAGGAAGGCAAATGCAAACTGAACCTGCATATTAACTTTGGAGAATCCTGAACAGGACTCCCAAGTCCTTTTGTGCTTCAGATTTCCAAAGCTTTTCCCATTTAGAAAATATAGTCTACACCTCTATTCTTCCTACCAAAAGAGTGTATAACCTCACTTTCCCACATTGGACAGAAGATATGGCAAATGGAATACACATTCTTCTCCTAGCCTGTCCCTTACAAAATCTATATTTAGCATGGGGCAACAAAATGCCTAACATATCCCAGGAAACCAGTTTTGTAATTACTCTCACCATTGAGAATGGGCAGAGATGATGTTATGATCTATTGGTTAGTAAACAAGTGTACAAAATTTGTTCTAGGAACCTTACCTTTTTGACAAAAATTTGAATCTTGGAATACAAGTAGTAATCTGTTTAACGTTTGAAGATAGTGCAAAACAAAAAAAAAACAAAACAACTTAACTTTGTAAAAATAAATAAAGCTATGGATTGTCTCAGGTACTATGGAAAAACATGAGCAGTTTTCAGAGCACAAATGTTGAACATAGAATGGGATGGACAGGCTTTGTACAAAGATTGGTTTGTAAATACAAAGCTGAAAAATCATACTACTACTTCTACCACAAATGCATTCATGACATTGCCAACAGATCTAAGCTTGCAAGTCTTTCCAATGCAGCCTATAATGGATAAATAGTGAGGAATAGCTTAGCTACACTAAATCAAGGCATCAGCAAACCATTACAGTACTTTGATAAGCAATTGTGGACCAATTCAATGCAAATCCATGATCACTAATGCCCTCTTTCCTGAATAAGAAAGATTTACACAACAAACAGCCAAAGAAAAGCCTCAAGCAGGAGTTGCATAGTTTTGATAACCTCAAGTTAGCACAATGCGACAAAGGAATCCATTCTGAATAGCCTTATCTTTAATTCGGCACTATTTGTGTAATGGTGCAATTCAAGTAAAAAAAAATTCAGTTTTGTACTTTTCTCACTTTCCCCCTATAACACATTCAGATAATTCCACCCCTTCATCAAACTGGGCAGGACTTAATGATTTAGTAATATCCAGAAAGTCACCTGTAGCAGCTCCCCTTCCCACTCAGTCACCTCTGCCCTACAAGGAGGTATTCTGGACCTCATTTCTCAACAGCACTTTAGACCTTGAAGTGAAAACTCATGCTACACATGCCAACATCATGCAACTTGGTCTCAGCACTCCTGATGTCAGACTGCTGGTCCTGATCCTGTCCTCTAAATACTGGACAGACTGAAGCCAATATATTTGCTCTCTATTGCAAATTCTGCTCCCTTGTCACCATTTCCACTGTGTGGAACTGCTTGCAACTAAACCAGAACACTCAACTTGGTATCATGTTTGGAAAATGAGCTTGACCACATGTTTGCTCTAGTACCAGAATGTTTGCTTTAAGTCCTGTAATATTAAAATCAGACTTGAATCTTGCCTCAGTTCCTGAAACCCTTAATACTTGTGTTTTCTTTATAGATATTCCAATCTTCCATCCTCCAGCCTTTACAATAGTTGATAAAAGCACTAGTGGCTGTACATTCTCAAATTTGAATGTCTCATTGTAGTTTAATTTAATCCAAAAGATTCATCCCTCACTATTTCAAATTAATAGTATGAATAGAATTCAGAAGTTACTTGAAATGCAAACATCTCCTGTTGCTTCATTATAGATTACAATGCATTCAGCTGCCTAGATCAGAAGGTCTGGAATTCCATTCCCAAATTAACAATGTCTTTGAAAATGTTCCTTACATTAGAAAAAAAAATTGGAGGAGAGATAGGTGTAAATCAAAATTCTCCTAATCAGTCTGTCATTTTATGGTGTTAAAAGGGCACAAGTGCAAATTGGTTTAAAATCTTTTGCACAATTTCAATTTAATATTTAAGTACCATTACAAGCTAGGGGTGTGAAATAGTTCAGTGAACTTTTTATACAATTAAACACTATCACAAAAACAATTATGGATCATGCACTAAAGCTTAATGTAGCTTGCCCTCAGTTTGAGGGTTTTGCTAGCACATCCCAAAACCCAGCTAAAGTATTATTAAAGTCAAGGCTACAAATAGTGATAAAGCATTTTAAAAAAAGGGAGCAGGAAGTCAAGTCTTTGAGAAGGTCTCAAGTCATTTTAAAAAATGACCTACAACTAACCAAAAGCAAAACCAAAGATAAATTGGTAGCAGCCAACATCATAAAAGTGCAGACAAGTGTCTAACATATGCATATTTTCCCAGTATATAGTGTGGAAGCGAATGGTTCAAAGAGACAGGAAAGAGATGCAATCTTCAAACAAAAAAAGTCAAACAAGAAAAATAATCTTATAGAGCATTAGCTTACCCTATGTGTAAAACTGCTTCTTCGTTTTCCGTGTCACGGGTCCATATTGCTATTTTATCTCCTTTTGCACGGATATTAATTACTGCACCACATATGTCATTGCTATAATCATCAAAGGCTTCTCCGATAAGGCATAGCAACTTAAGGATGTTAAATGCAAAGAAATGAATACAAAATCATATTAGTTACCTGCACTTTACAAAATGGAGATGGAATAGCAGATTATAAATGCTTAATAGCTCCATTGATAATTACTGCATTTAGGTCTAGAGGTCCTATTTGAAAAGACACTAGTTCAACCCAGGCACAAAACATTTAAAAAAGACTTCAGGTGATCTGAACCAATGGCTGCAGTCACTTATAGGAAATAGAATAGCCAATTTGTATACAGCAGGTTACTTGATGATTCTCATTGATATTCGTGCCTCAAATCATTCAGAATACCAGGGATAATTCCCTTGTTTATTTTGAAAAGGTGTGTGCCATAGGACGTAAGAGGGCACAAATGTGCCATGTACAACTCATGCCATTACACAGAAAATTAAAGTGTGTCAGTCATCTATTGCAGATATAATTGTTTAAAGAGGATAAAAAAGTTAAGCATTGAAAAACCCAAGGACAGAACATTACTTTGATGTTCCACCAAAATGAAAACAAAACACACAATGTATTTTATTAACTCACTGTTTCTAGCCAGTACTGATCTAGTTCCAGCATCCTTTGCTGCCTGGACAGTGTGATTAACCATCTTCCACCACATTTGTTTCTATTGTCTTCCCACATGGGTTCAATACCATCCTATGTAACAATAGGAATGTGTAGTTTTTAAATACTAATTTGAAGACAGTTCATAAAGCAGTTTCAAATTTTAGAATAAAAAACCAATCAATCAAAAAAGGACAGTGCAAGTGGTGAAATACGTTAATATAAGCTGATAATTTATTTTTTATTTTACATAACTGTTTACTTTGGGTAACAAAATTATTTATTTCCAACAACTCAATCATTTAAACATGCAAGTACCAATGTGACAAAATGATTTGATAATCAGAAATGGCTTAAGGAATTTCAGGTCACCTAAAAGTCAGAAAGTGAGCAAGAACATGAGTGAAACAGAGATAGACTAAAGTTAAATAACCCCCAATTATAAAACAATTTCTCATATGGAAATTCCTGCTAATTTGAGAAGCTTTTTAAAATTTTAAAAAAGTCTTAGTTTCCCTGTAAGTACAATCTTCCAAGATCATAACATTTTTGATTCACTGAGAAATTCCTGCTTGAGCAATCAAGCATTAGGCATAGGCACTGATTTGTGCAACAGGACTTTGACATGAGAACAAAAAGTCAATTATACTGAATATCCCTTCTTACAATTGATAAGTAATTTCCATTTGTCCCCCTCAATTCCTCATGGGGGCACTAAAGACAAGACTAAATCATATTCAACAATCAGCTTTCAAAGAGACTTTCCATGATTGTGACTAATCGGTCAGTTAATTTTACAAATAAACTGAATAGCAGCTGACTTTGCATAAATAATCAAAGTGTACAAACCTTAAAGAGAGAGTAATCACAACCGGACATCAGCCTACTGGCAAGTTGAATGTGATTGTACAGTCTATTGAAGCAATAAACAAAACAAAAAAAATTCAGTTGGAAAAAACAATGATACAATGTTTAAAATTGCCAGTTCAGCTTTTATTGGGGGTGGCATTGATATCAGTGAACAAATTAATTCCAAAATATATTAAAAATACTAAAACAAACAAACAAACAAGGTCCCCCATACTAGTAATCCATGACTACCAAACAGCACATGAATAGAGTCAAGAATTAGAGCACAGTAAGTGGCAGAAGAAATGTTGGAAATGAAAGCACATTTTAAAGAAAAAAAACAAATTGCTAGAGTACCAGAAAGCTAATCAAAGAGCCAAAGGAGGTGAATACAATTGACAAGAGGTATTGGTGATCAGTGATAAGATCACAAACAGGGGCTCAAAAAGTTTACCTTATCTAACTGGCAACTACAAATAATAATTTCACATAACATTTCAAACAACTGGGATGGCCTAGTGCTGTTGGTCACTGGATTAGTGACCCAGATAATTTTCAGAGAGCTGGGTTCAAATCCCACCATGGCAGAATGGGGAATTCAAAATTTTCCCTTTTTTTTTTAAAAAAAGGAAAAAAATCTGGAAACAGTCTAATGCTGACCATAAAGTCCATCTGGTTCTTGTCTTACCAGGTCAGGCCTATACATAACTCCAGACTCAGCTATGCAGTTGACTGTTAACTGTTCTGAAGTGGCCTAGCAAGCCAGAGTCACACTCAGTCATACAGCATGGAAACAGACCCTTTAGTCCAACTCATCTGCACTGACCACATTCCCAAATCAATCTAGTCCCACTTGCCTCTGTTTGGCCCATATCCCTCCAAACCATTCCTATTCATGTACTGATCCAAAAGGTCTTTTAAAATGTTATAACTGTACCTGCATCCACCACTTCTCTGGCAGTTCATTCCACACATGAACCACTAAATAAAAACATTGTCCCCCATGTCCTTTCAATAAATCTCTCTTCTCACTTTGAAAAGGTGCCCCCAAGTCTGGAAATCCCCCACCCTATGGTGATAAAAAAGACCCTTGCTACTCACCTTATCTATGCTCATAATTTTATAAGCTTCTATAAAATAAAAAGGTCACCCCCTCAATCTCCTACACTCCAGGAAAAAAGTCCCAGCCTACTTATAATCAAACCCTCCATTCCCAGCAACATCTTGCTAAAGCTTCTGACCCCTCTCCAATTTGATAATATTCTTCCTACAAAAAGGGGCAACCAGAACTGTACACAGTACTCCAGAAGCCTCACCAACATCCTGTAGAACCTCAATATGACATCCCAAAAAGTAAAAATCTCAAGGTGAACAGCCAATCTACACCCCTCATGATTTTATAAACCTCTCAAGTCACTCCTCAGCCTTCAACCCTCCAGGGAAAATAGTCCCAGCCTATTCAGCTCTCACCCTCCAACTTGGAAACATCCTTGGGCAAATCTTTTCTGAACTCTTTAAGTTTCACTTTTCTATAGCAGAGAGACCAGAATGGAATTTAGTATTCCAAAAGAAGCCTAATCATTGTTCTATACAGCTCCCGACTCCTATATTCATGCACTGACCAATAAAGGCCAGAGTGCCACACGCCACCTTCATTACCCGGTTTACCTGCAACTCTACTTTCAAGAAACCAAGAACCTGCACCCCAAGGTCTTTGTTTAACAATGCTCCACAGGACCTTCCTATTAACTGTATAAGACCTGCCCTACCAAAATGCATCTCATCACGCTTATCCAAATTAAGGTCCATCTGCCACTCCTCAGCCCACATGCCCATCTGACTAAGATCCTGTTGTACTGAGATAAGCTTTTCACTGTCTGCTACACCAATTTGTGTCATCTGCAAGTTTACTAACCATACCTCCTAAATCATTTATATTAAAGAATAACAAAAAGCAGTGGACCTACCACCAATCCTTGCAGCACATGGCTGGTCACAGGCCTCCAGTCTGAAAGGCAACCCTCCGCCACCAACCTGACTCCTATCTTCAAGGAAGTTTTGTTTCCAAATGGAAAGCAGTCCCTCTTTTCCATGTAATCTGACTTTACTGACTAGTCAACCTTGCAGAACCATGTCAAATGCCCTAACATCCATACAGACAATGTCCACCACTCTGTCTCCAATATTCATCACCTCAAAAAACAAACCTCAAGTGAGACAAGGTTTGTCACACACAAAACCATGTTGACCATCCCTCATCAGTCCTTGCCTTTCCAAATACATGCAAGTCCTGTCCCTCAGAATTATCTCCAACTTACCCACATTTCCCTCAAAACTATGCTGACTATTCAGATTCATCAACTACTAGAAAAAAAAAGTGAATGAAACCACACAGACAACCTGGTATTGATTAAAACAAAAAAGTGGCCAATGTAGTTCTGTCAACCTTGCAATGTCCTCCTTATTAACATTTGGGAGTTAATGCCAAAATTGGGAGAGCTGACTCAGATTAGCCAAGCAATAATCTCAATAGCTATATTCACCAAAACATGTAAAGTCCCAGACAATACTATCCCTAGTTACGTTCTATTCCACTAGCCATGGTGCTGGAACAGTGGTATATAGTTAGGGACAAGCAGTCCCAGAAGTCCAACATCAACGCTGGACCTCAAAGTCTCATAGCATTGGATTACACATGAACAAGGAAACTTCCTTTTAAAATGAACCAACCTTGCCTCCTGACCCTCGACCTGACTAGCTGAATTTCTCCAACACACCTACCTGTTTTTAAATTACAGTATTAGTAAGCAAGCACCACATGCCTTTGTGGAGAAAGTCCTGTATTCAAATTGAATACATTGTATAATAACAAAAATGAGGTGTCGATCTGGTGAAACACCACAGGATTACTGTATACCAAGCAGCAAGTGATTGATAGATAAGCAATTACACAACAAGTGGGTCAGATCTACACTCTGGTCCTACCTCATCCAATCATGAAAGGTAATGGACAATTCAAGAGCTCACTGCAGATGGCTAATCCACTAATGTCATCTTCAAATGGGGGAAGGGAAGGAAGCAGGCACAGCACATAGGGCAAAGAATAGGATTGAAGCACTGAAAATGAGTCTTCAGCCAGATTGTCCATCCAGTCTTCCTCCAGAAATCACCAGCATCATGGATGCCAGACCTCAGCTAATTCAAGTCCATCCATATAATAATCAAGAAACTGAAGGGTCTAGATGCTGCAAAGGCAATGCGCCCCGACAATGTTCCAGCAACAGTGCTGAAGACTTGTGCTCCAGAACTTGTCACACACTTAGCCAAGTTGTTCCAGTACATCTACAATGTCATTAGACAATGCAGAAAATTGCCCACATCCAGTCCAGCCAAATATCACCAATGGTCTACCCTCAGTCAACAGTAAAGTGATAGGTGTCAAACAGCAATATGCCGAGCAATAGCCTGCTTATTGATGCTGTTTTTAATTCCAACAGGGCCATTCAGCACCTGACCTCATGACCTATTATCCCCATAATCCTCATTTCCTTATTGAGGGAGTCTGGGATTGATATTCTCAAACTGATGTAACGCGGTCTCAACAAAGCTCTGAAATAAAACAAATTCCAGAAGTTTACTACCCTCCAAGAAGAAATTCATCCTCATCTGAATTAAAAGGGTGACCCTTTACTCAGATTATGCCCTGTCTGGATAACAGAAAGAGGGGGCGGGGTGGAATTCCCTTCCACCTCTGTCAAGTAGAAGAAGCTTGCATGTTTCTATAAAGTTGCCGCTCATTTTTCCCGAGAGTGGATTAATACAGGCCCTACCTCTCCTCAATAGAGGGTCCCTGTACACTGCATCAACCTAGCGAACCTTTTCAGGCTTGCCACCAATCCATATAATAATCAGGAAACTGAAAACTGTTCAGTATTCAATCTGAGGTCTAACTATTCCCTTGTTTAGTTTCAGCAAAACTACTTTTATACTTTATTCCCTTTGAAAGAAAGGCTAACATGCCATTTGCTTTCCCCATCACCTGTTGAATTGGGTGCTAGCTCTTGATGATACCCAAATCCCTGCTCTATAACTTTCTGCCACCTTTTGCTATTTCAATAATGTTCAGCTCCTATATTCTTCCTGCCAAAAAGTGTATAACATCACATTTTTCCCCTGGCTGAAGACTCATCTTCCCCAGTTTATATGCCTCAATGTCTGTGTGGAGTTTGCACAGTCACCCAAGGGCAGAATCAAACCCAAGTCCCTGGCACTGTGAAGCAGCAGCGCTAACCACTGAGCCACCATGCCGTCCCTTATAACAGATATAAAAGCTGACTGGCCTAAAGTTAGCTGAGTTTTGTGCCGATCCTTTTTAAAGTTTAAAAAAGTTATAATTCCAGGTTTTTACAATCCTCAAAGTTTTCCAGAATCTAAGGATTCTTGGAAGATTACTACCATTGCATCCAATATTGCTGTAGCTACTTCTTTCAATAGCCTGTGATACATTCCATCAGATCCAGGGGATTGAAGCTGCATTTGATAACAAAACTGGAGTCAATAAAAATCAGAGGAGAAACTTTCCTCTGGTTAGAGTCATACCTGGCCCAATGGAAGATGGTCACAGTTGTTGGGAAGTCAATCATTTTAGCTCTAGGACATCTCTACACAGGGTAGTTCCTCAGATTTGTAATCTTGGTACAACCATCTTCAGTTGCTTCACTGATTTGTGGCAAAATGGCACTCACCACACAACTGATAGGTAATGACCATTTCCAACAAAGACAGAATCTAACCATTGCCATTGAATGTCAAGGGCATTACCATTTACTCTCCCAACTATCAACATTCTGGGGTTACTATTAACCAGAAACTGAAATGGACTAGCCATTTAAATACAATGCTTACAAGTACAGGTCAAAGGCTACAATCCTATATCTGTCCTCTTGACTCCCTTGTCCAAGCCTGTCTACCATCAACTAGGCATAAATCACAAGTACGATGGAATATGCATTCATCCACTTGCCTGAACAAGTACAGCTCAAACAAAACTCAAGCTTGACACCATCCAAGGCAAAGCAGCTGATTGTTGTTTACGGATGTGTACACAGTCAGGAAAGTAGCTCACCATCACCTGCTCAAATGGTAAATAGGGATGGCCAATAAATGCTGGCCCAACTAGTGACACCCACATCCAACAAATTAATTTTAAAAATGCTTTTTGAATGGACAGGTTAGTTCGAAGATGAGCATTTTTATCCCACAATAGGCATTTGCAACAGCACAAGAAGAACTGAAGTTAAAAAATGCAACTAGTTCAGGTTCTTTGAATCACATACAAAGAAAGAGGCAAAAACAAAACCTTCCAGAGAAATAATACAAATGAAAGATTCCTTAAAGTTGTCCCTATGTTAATAAAAGTCAATAAGTTCTTAACGTTCCTGACAAAGCATGAATTTAGTCCATTTCCACAAGCAAGCAGAGCTTTAAAAACTAACCTGGTGACTTTCTTGCATACCACACTCCCTATTGTCTCAAGGCAGGAACAAGGCAGTCATTGGTGTGTTGTTGCCACATAACATTTGAGAAGCATTTTTGATAATTTGAGCAAGAACATATAGAATATCTGAGTTATTAGAGTCCTTTACATTGGCCAATTATCCACAAGGGATCATAAATTTTAAACCCAATTAATTAAAAATATGCTACAAGCCTGTTCAAAAATCTAGTACATCACTGGTAATAGAGCACAAAGGTAACAATGTAAACAAGAGATAGCCATACAATGGAACTTCACCAGAGCACGGAGAGATGTGATAAGTGCTCAACTTAAAGACAAAAATTCACAAGTGTCACAATCAATTGTTTAAGCACATAGCTTTCAGAATTTTAAAAGATTTGAGATGTTGAACAATTTTGCTCTAATTTGTTTCAGATCAGTTGTAGTACATGCTTACCACTAGCGAACAAGGTCAGCTGGCACTGAGAAGTCTGCTTCTCAGCTCACTAATCGATAAAGTTTCGTTCTAAAACTTGAAGGACGAAATCTTCCCAAATATTTTCCACTTCCTGAAAAACACTTCTGTCCTATTCTATTTAAAATACTACAGATACTTACGCCCAAAAATCCTCCACAGTGTCAAATTTAGTAACAAGACGAAGATTTGCCTGCCAGGCCTTACTTTTATCATTTTTGAAAAACCAGAGAGTCCACCTGTATTCAAAACAAGAATATATGAAGTGAAATATTCTGGACAATTTATAACAATTTTACTCTTTCATTTCAAATCATCAACCAAGTACTATTTGCTTAAAATTACAGTTAACTTGCAATACTGTCAACTGCAGTCCCATGAAGTGTAAAAATATTCATGTATTATTGAAAAGTTATAACAATATGGATACAAAAATTAGTTTGACTTTCATAAGTATAGTCACAAGAAAAATAGAAAACAAAGATCCTGCATCCCAGGTAATAAGTAAACTCAACTTAATAAGAACTCACTGTAGGGACTCTTTCAAAACTTGCCAAAGGCTCAGGAAAGATCGAACACTCACCATTTATGTCAGAGTTATTTCTACAGCAGTCAGATTAAATATTACAAATACAGTTCTTGTTTTTGCCAGGGTCTATATTTTCCTGCATCTTGATGCAGTATATGCCTAATCACTTTACACAGCAGGGAAAGGTAGTGCTGGAGATGGATTATTCAGCTGATTATCTTCCAAAGCTGCATGTGCATATCAACAAATGGACTCCAGCTGTTCATAAAGCTAGCTCAGTACTATGGTCAAGACTAGTTAGAGATGGGCAATACAATATTGGCTTGCCTACATCCCAATAATAAAGATAGATTTTAAAATCTTAGTCTAGACGCCATGATTGTATTACATATACTCATCGCAGGTTAAAAAAGGGTGGTGATGAATCTAACTAAATTCCTGCATGTAAAAGACTAGCAAGATTGTGACCAGTTTCAACTATCACCCTTTGCCAACTTATTTGATTTCCTTTGAATGGATAAAGATTAGATTTGTCTAAAGGCTGTATGGGAGTGGAAAATGGTTAATGGTCATTGCACCTTATTGGTCAATGGTGTGCCAGGCAGGTTACATCAAGAAGTTTTAGACGTTTATTCTTATTTGCTCCAAATGATGGTACCTTTATTCAACTTAGTAAATAAAACAAACAGTCTTGATCCTCAAACAGTGTACTATGATTGATGCTATTGTCAAAGAGAAAGAACAATAACTTCAATTTCAGAAGACTGTTATTTTTGTGTACTCGGATGGTCCAAATAGATTTACAACATGTCAGGAATAGGAGAAGTACATTTCCCCACAAAATTCCAGACTTAATTGCATTTTGCCAGAATCTAACTTTCTATTGTCCATGACAAAGGCACCATTAACACCAGTCAATTACTGAAAAACATAACATCCGAATCAACTTCATCTATAGAGTCAAATAAAAATTACATCCCTTAGATTTCTACATTCCTCCAGTCTGGTTTCTAACACATCCAGAAGAATTAGCTGGACAAATGGTAACCTTTCCCTTGGTCAACTGAATCCCTAGATTCAAAGCTTTTTAGTTCCTTAAACCATCAGTTAAGGCTTATCCATATGGTTCACAAACAATTCGACAATACTTGTGAAGCGCTTTGTAGCATTTTGCCCCAATAAGAAAAAAGGTGTCGTCATTTACATCTAGTAACGTGTATGTACATATTGTTCGGTAGTGAACTTGTGATCGAAAATAGCATTGTTTATAATGGTGGCAAATTCAGTCAGATTAAGTTCAATGCTGTTCATGGAGCTCATGTATATGGCATACTACAACAGGTATTACCAAACAGTCCAAGTTCATTCCAATTCTACGTTGAAGTTGATAGAGGTGTGAAAGGAGGAAGAGAAATGCTAAGCAAACTTGATCACAATTTAAAATGATCTGTACAGACATCAAGCAAAGCTAGCATTGAGGTCTTTCCTGCTCCTCTGATGCTGCTTGGCCTGCTGTATTCATCCAGCTCTACACCTTGTTATCTAAGCTACCATTGAGATTGCTCACAAAATAAACAGCATCTTAAAACTTAGAAACTGGGTTTACATTTTGAAGACACTTTTTTTGCACATAAATCAATACCCACTAAAAAGAAAATTGTAATTTAAGTGGCGAATATCAAACACTAGTTTTCTTACAAAGAAAACAAAGTTAACAGCCAAGATAGATTATACCTGTTTTGCAAAGGATGCTTCATATATGGTTGAACAATTAGAACATCCTTTCTAGAGGACTTCTTAGTCTCTTCAGACTCTCGAAGAATTGCCAGGTCAGCCTTTAAAGATGCCAATGTTTAAAAAGTGAATAAGCTAACGTGATTCGAGTAAGAATTATCATTACATCTCAATTTATTGTTGTACTACCATTTTAAGAAAAAGATAGACTCAAAACAAGACTTGACGCTTCAAAGTCAAAAATCATGGAATGCCTTACTGTACACAATTGGGAGAATGCTTCAGGAATTGCAGCAGCTCTTCTCTAAGCTAAGACTCAACCACATTGTTGTCAACACAAAATCAAAATCAAAATGGCAAAGAGCAATCTCACGTCAAAGAAAACAAAATACTGTTCAAACCAAAAGGAAGGGAAAGGCAGACGTCAAAGAAGACACGATGTCCAGAGGTCTTACATAGAACACAGAATAGTACAGCACAGTACAAGCCCTTCGGCCCACAATGTTGTGCCGACCTATTATCCTACTAAGATCAATCTACCCTGCATACCCTACGCATGCCTATCCAAGAGTCACTTATAAGTCCCTAATGTATCTGACTCCACTATCACAGCCGGCAGCACATTCCACATGCCCACCACTCTGCGTGAAGAACCTACTTCTGACATTTCCCCTATACCTTCCTCCAAACACCTTAAAGTTATGCTCCCCCATAATAGTCATTTCCGCCCTGGGAAAAAAAGGTCTCAACTATCCACTCTATGTCACTCATCATCTTGTACACCTCTCATCCTTCGCTCCAATGAAAAAAAGCCCGAGCTCTCTCAACCTTTCCTCAAGACTTGCCCTCCAGTCCAGGCATCATCCTGGTAAATCTCCTCTGCACCCTCTCAAGCTTCCACATCTTTCCTATGATGAAGTGACCATAACTGAACACAATATTCCAAGTGTGGTCTAACCAGAGTTTTATAGAGCTGCAGCATAACCTTACGGCTCTTAAACTCAATTCCCCTGCCAATGAAAGCCAACATACGTTATGCCTTCTTTATAAGGCTATCAACTTGGGTAGCAACTTTGAGGGATCTATGGATGTCGACCCCAAGGTTCCTCTATTCCTCCACGCTGCCAAGAATCCCACCATTAACCCTGCATTCTGCATTCAAATCTGACCTTCCAACATGAATCACTTCACACTTTTCTGGGTTGAATTCCATCTGCCACTTCTTTGTCCAGCTCTACATCCTGGCAATGTCCTGTTGCCACCTACAATAGCCCCCCACACTGTCCACAACTCCACCAACTCGTGTCTCATCAGCAAACTTACTAACCCACCCTTCCACTTCCCCATCCAAGTCATTTGTAAAGATCACAAAGAGCAAAGGCTCCAGAACAGATCCCTGCACAACACCGCTAGTCACCAAGCTCCAGGCTGAGTACTTTCCATCTACTACCACCCTCTGTCTTCTATTGGACAGCAGTTTTGTATCCAGACAGACAAATTTCCCTGAATCCCACGCCTCCTTACTTTCTGAATGAGCCTACCATGGGGAACCTTATCGAAGGCCCTGCTAAAATCCATATACACCACATCCACTGCTCTACCTTCATCGATGGGTTTTGTCACATCCTCAAAGAATTCAGTAAGGCTTGTGAGGCATGACCTGCCCGTTACAAAGCTATGCTGACTATTTCTAATCAAACTGTGCTTTTCCAAATAATCATAAATACCAGCTCTCAGAATTCTCTCCAATAATTTGCCCACCACAGAAGCAAGACTGACTGGCTTATAATTTCCATCTTTATTGTGCACCATACCCATGGATCTGTAACAGTATAGTGTTATTTTTGCCATAAAATTGCTTTTACCTTAGCTTCCAAAGCTAAATAATCCTGTGAAATTGCATTGCTGCATCCACAAAATGAAGACTTCAAGCAAAAGGTATGGAAACAAAGTTCCAACTACAAAATGTGGGACATATATCAAATTACTGCATTTAAAGGTGATAAAGTTTAACATATACCACCAGGATGACAGAGGGGGAAAAAACTGAAAGGTGGAAGATAGACAGGTTGTGAATTATATATGGATATAAATCCAGCATTGCAATGCTCCACAACTGTAGCAGGAGCATTTATAGTGTTACCATTACTCTCATGGAAGATGAAATAAACAAAGCTACTTCTCAGTTTTAATCTCAATATTTAAAGTTAACTTGATTTCACATTAAAAATTCAAACCAATCAGCTGGTCAGAGAGTCATACAACGTGGAAACAGACCTTTCGGTCCAACTAGTCTATGCTGACCATGTTCCCAAACTAAACTTGTCCCATTTGCCTGCTTTTGGCCCATATCCAACCAAACCTTTCCTATTCATGAACTTATTCCAATGTCTTTTGAGTGTTGTAATTGTACCTACATCCATCACTTCTCTGGCAGTTCATTCCACAGGAGCCATACCACGTGGAGACAAAAATTGCCCACACCCACCCCTGTAGTTTTTTTTTTAAAAAGAGCTCTCTCCTCTCACCTTAAATGGCTGAGAGTTTTGAATTGCCCCACCCTAAGGGAAAAAGGCTTTTGCTGTTTACCATATCTATGCCTCTTTAAACCTCTGGAAGCTCACCCCTCAACCTCCAAAGCTGCGGTGAAAAAAAAAAGTCCCAGCTTATTTTTATAACTCAAATCCTCCATTCCCAGTAACATCCCAATTATGCTTTTCTGAACCCTCCAGTTTAATATTGTCCATCCAATAACAAAGCTAGCAGAACTCCACACAGTTCTCCAGCTATCTGCACCCAATAAATTTGAGTTATACTCATAACGTGCTAATCCAGTTTGACACATTAAGTGTGCTGAACGTGTGGATCGGAGTCTTGTTCTAACCGGAGAATTAAGTGTTTGTTAAAGCCTAAAAAGATAAAGCAGAAAAGGATGGGTTTATTTTAACAAGTTCCATTTAAAAATTAGATATTTTTAACTATTTCCTGCTCGACTCCATCCAAGATTTAGAGAATGCAAAAAAAGGAGAAAAAAGTGTGCCAAAAAGGGGAAAAACCCCTCAAAAATCAGAGGTAAAATTACATTCTCAAGATTCAAATACTCCTGGCGGGGGGGGGGGGGGGGGGGTGCTAAATTTCGAGGTAATTAAAATGTAGCGGCGAAAAGAAAATCTGCTCACAAATTGAAAAGAAAATGCAATGCGAGATCATTTGGAACGCTGGTTTAAAGCTATTTCCCAATTTAACACAATCACTCACTAACCAAGTTCGGCCGAACCCTGATAGTTTTCCCGAAACAAAGCAAAACTCGCTCACCGGCTTTGCTTTCGCCATATTGAAACGAGAAACCTGCAAATCACTTGATCAATCCCCAATTTATGGAGTGAATTAATTACTTGTTAAAGAGACCCGATTCCAAATGTGCTGTCTGATTTAAGAATGGTAAGATGTGTCATTACACATCCGAACAGTTTGAATGAAGGCAAATAGGATCCCAAAAATCATCCTTAAAATTATAATAAATCATCTAACGCTTCCGTGTTTTGATCTGGGTTCGCCTGATTTTAGCACGATGAACCTAACAAGTTGTATGGTAAATCTTCAACCTTATTTGGAAAGATTTTCAATAGAGAAAAAAAATTCTGGTAGAAAAGTTGTTTATAAAGGACAATGAGACAATTAAACACATGAAGGGGCACTTAAAGGTCTAAACAGTAATATTTTAATGCATATTTTAATATTTTCAGCTGTTTTGGGGTAATTAACATCCTATGAAAGCACAATGAATGGCATAATCAATGTGCAGTCAAGAAACAAAGTCTTGTGCTAGTCATCGAAACAGTCCAGTTATTCCATATCCCATTAAATAACTGGGAAAGAAGATTGAGATTAAAGGTTGTTGCAAGAAAGGCCGTTACCAGTGACAGGCAAGCAGTCAATAGTTAGAGACATGGATTTGAAGGAGGGGTAAAATGAGGGTTTCGAAGTGAAACTGCAGGCTGAATATTCCCATCCCCTGATTGCACATGGAAAAAGACTAATCATTTGAGAAAATATGGCAGAATTAGAAAAATCTCAACTTCAAGAAAAAAATCTGATTGTTCTTCAGGCTTTGAGGCGAAAGAATGTCTCACTAGTGAACTGTGAGAGGCCTATTTTCAATGTGTTAAAATCTCATTATTATCTATTCTCATTTTATTTATATACAGTGTGCCATTCACCCATGTGGTGGAGAGAAACTAGACAGTGTCAATACCCCTGACATAAAAGTCAGAGAGGAACCTAATGGGTCTAGTTCGCCTTTTGCACCCCTTGCCTCTATCTTGGCTAGTTTTCTGCAATATCGCAGGGCATGCTCCATGGATAGCAACCTCATGCATCCTCTATTCAGGAAGGTTGGCATTGAAGATGCATCAGCATCACCGCAACATCATGGCACATCTCCGATTCATTTGGAACACAGTATCTACTTCAATACTGCACTTTGTAGCGCACAGACACCTTGCTGTGTTATGCTGTTGGGAAAAGCATTCATCTCATTGAATCAAGCAGGGTGCATTTCAGGGCTCTTAGCTTGCTCTTTTAGCACTTAATTACTTTGCCCTTACTTATAGAATCTCGGTTTTGCCTATCCTTGCCTTTTTTTGCAAATTGGTGCCTCACTCAGAACTTACAAGTCTTGTCTATTAGTGCAGACATAAAACCAGCAGTTTATCATATTTGCTCGCAATGATCAAGGGGATAGGCGTGTTGATGTATGGAGTAAAAACAGAAATTGTTGAAAAATTTCTGCAGGTCTGGGAGCATCTGTGGAGAGAAATCAGACTTAACGTTTCAGGTCCAGTGAACCTTCTAAAGATCACTGGACCTAAAACATTAACTCTGATTTCTCTGCACAGATGATGGCAGACTTGCTGAACTATTCCAGCAATTTCTGTTTTTGTTTCTGATTTACAGCATCTGCAGTTCTTTCAGTTTTTCATGTTGTCGTATGGTACCATGCGACATCAATGTCACACCTACAGTACAGGGCAACAGTTTACATGGCAAACATACTGCACGTTCTTCAACCTAATGGCCATTTCTCAAAGTCTCAGGGAACTACTCAGTCAGGTCAAGAGGGACAGTCAATAGTCTGGGGTTACTGCCAAAGTAAGTCAAGGGCATCATCCAATATAAGTCCAGAGGCTTGGACACAGTGAGTTGATTGTTTGAGACATTCAGGAACAAAGGTTTTGTTTCATTGCAGTCTGAGGAATGGGCCATAATCATCCTTGTGGGTTCAGTGCAACCAGTCAGGAGATTAATAGGAGGTCAGTTGGGGAGCTTCACAGAGATCAGTCAGGAGTCTGCTGCTTATTAGTCAGGGCTGTCCTTTCAAGTAGTGTAAGCCACTCTCAACACTGAGCAATGATATGATGTTATACTAGACTGAGCATTAGGGAAAGAGTAGCACTCCTTTAGACAGAGTTTAACACAATGTAATGCTAAGGTGGGTAGTCTGTGTAGCTTCATTTTTCTAGCTGTAAATCTAGTGAAGTGTCATCCATGTCACTTAAGTACCTTTTCTCTTTTTTATTCCCTCCCTCTACATGTACAGTGAATGGATATTCGTGGCTGGCAGAAACTGAACTGGCACAAAGCTGGGCTTCAAAAAGGGCATCATCAGTGAGCATCCTGGAGAGTCCCGGCAGTGTGGAGTTCTTCAACCAGTGGTGAGTGCAAGACAAGCCACAAGTGGTGCTGTAGAGGAGTGGTGCATATGTAATAATGTTAGCTGTGGAGAATTGCATGAGATAACTCACGGGAACTCACTGAGAGAAACTATTTACAAAACTCCCGAATTTGACAATTTGGCAATTTGTTTGGTAAGATTTAGCTCTGAAGGTTACGACTATTGGTACTGTTATGCATAATACACACAGGTACCCTTGAAGCAGGTTGCACATGCTTTCCATCTTGCCGTCGACTGATGCAGAGCTCATGTTAATATTTCTGTATCATTAGGAGGAAATTAACAGCTAGCCTCAAGCTATTTCTGGGGAGCTAGACATGCCCTGTATTCTTCTGTGGCCCCTCCTCTCCTTCATCCAAAAAACATCGGTGAAGGTAAATGTGGTACCTTTTAAAACTTCACCACCTATATCTTGGATTTCCTAAACCAATTATGGTGCTCGACTTTAAGGTTTTAGCAGACTTGCTCACTGATCTGGTCTGTTTTCATTCAGACGTTTCGTCACCATGCTAGGTAACATCATCAGTGAGTCCTCCGATGAAGCAATGTTGTTCTACTCCGCTTGAAATTTATACTGTCTGGTCCGTTATGGTGAGTAGTGTCATTTCCGGTTTTGTTATGTATGGGTTTGTATATAGGGTCCAATTCTACATGTTCGTTGATTGCATTATGGGTTGAGAACCATGCCTCTAGGAATTCCCATGCGTGTCTATGTTTGGCTTGGGCTACGTGGTTACGTTGTCCCAGTTAAACTGATGGCCTTCATTGTCTGAGTGTACTGATATTAAATGTGTACTATCTACAAGATCCACCTCAGAAATTCACCATTCCCACAACATGCAGAACCAATGTAGCTTACAAAGTACCATGCAACGACTGCCACAAACACTACAGCGGACAGACAAGAATGAAACTAGCCATCAGAATACACGAACATCAGCTAGCAGCAAAATGGCACAACAAACTTTCCTTAACATCAGTATCTGCATGTTGTGGGAATGGTGAATTTCTGAGGTGGATCTTGTAGATAGTACACACTTAATATCAGTACACTCAGACAATGAAGGCCATCAGTTTAACTGGGACAACATAACCATAGTAGCCCAAGCCAAACATAGACATACACAGGAATTCCAAGAGGCATGCATGTCAATCCCTAATGCAATCAAAAGACATATAGAATTGGACCCCATATACAAACACATACAGAACAAAACCGGAAATGACACTACTCACCATAACGGACATATAAATTCCAAGCGGAGTAAAACAACGTTGCTGCATCGGAGGTCTCACTGACGACGTTTTCTAGCATGGTGACGAAATGTGTGAATGAAAACAAACCAGTTCAGCGAGTAAGTTAGCAACCTCATGGTGCTAGACTTCTTGACCAAGAAACAAAACAAAACACAAAAATATCCTTTAAATTCATTTTAAATTCTTATTCTTGATTCTATAAAGGCTTTTCATAAGCACCACATATGCACAGCTATAGATGTTCATATTATGTGGGCAGATATTGTAACTATTCTATTGGCATAAACACCAGAATTGTATGAATCACTGGGGGTTAATTCTATTGGTGAATTCATTTATGATCAAAATACTTTTTTTTGTTGAGGCACAATTCAGGAATGTGATGGAATACTCCCACTTGTCTGGATGAGTGCAGCCCCAACAACACTCAAGAAGCTTGACACCATTCAGGACAAAGCAGACCACTTGATTGGCACTGCATCCACAAGCATCCACTCCCTCCACCACCGACGCTCAGTGGCAGCAGTGTGTATATTTACAAGATGCACCTCAGAAATTCAACATAAATCTTCAAACAGCACCTTCCAAACCCATGACCACTTCCATTTAGAAGGACAAGGGCAGCAGATATCTGGGACCACCACCACCTTCAAGTTCCCCTCCAAGCCACTCACCATCCTGACTTGGAAATATATCGCCATTCCTTCACTGTCACTGGGTCAAAATCCTGGAATTCCCTCCTTATAATGGCATTGTGGGTCAACCCACAGCAGGTGGACTACCGCAGCTCAAGAAGGTAGCTCACCAAGAACTTCTCGAGAGCAACTAGGGAAAGACAATAAATGCTAGCCAGCCAGCGATGCCCACATCCCAAAAAATGAATAAAATTATATTTGAGTAACACCAGTACTTGTTACCCAGTTCTAGATTCTCTGTGGACACTAAGAGTTAACCATATAGTGTGGGATCAGTCACATATAGGTCATGCCAGGTGAGCTAAGTTTCTTTTCTTAAGGTTATTAATGAACTGCATTCAGTACTTATGACAGTAGTATTTACAGTGATTTTCTGATTCCAGCCTACAAATTACCAAATGGATTTCAATTTCACAATTTAGTGGCCTGGGAGGAATATGAATTATGAATTCTTTAGTTTGTCTAGTCAAGTACCATAACCGCTAAGTGCTTTTCCCATAAAAAAAACTCCAAATGAAAATTGGTTGAAATGTAACAGATCTGGGCCAGTTTTTCTGATTGGCTATCTATACCCACTTCACATATATTGACATTGGAAAATATTCCTTAGTTTGTCACACAAGCTGTTTGGCAGTCTATAATGAGACAG